GAAGTGCCCTGCTAAGGGGGTCTGGTCTTGGAGATGGGGGCAGGACCTACAGCTTCCTCAGCCTGTGGAGCCACTCCACTAGACAAGGACTGTATTTTTAATTTCTTTTTTTAGTTTAATTACTTTTTTCCCACCTACTACCAAATTGATTTAATTCCAAAACTGATTTCGTACAAGAAAGCAAGCCCTGGCTTTATGTGTGTGTGCACGGGGGTGAATCTCTCCCCTGCCGGCAGCCGTCCACAATTCTGTGCTGGGGCAGGAGCTCAGTCCTGTGCCCCCCCTGTACTGGGGCATTCAAGGAAAGCTCAGCTGTCCTAAAGCAGGGTTGGGCTGGGACACAACCAGCCTGTCCCCATGTTGGGCAGGGGACTTCTCTGAAACCTGGCTGCCAGCAGTGTGGTGAGTTCATCCAGCCTGGTGTCCCTGCTCCGGGAGCTCTCGGCTGCAACTACATAAAATAAACCAAACCAAACAGAAGGGGCAGGAGCACTGCTGGGCTCCTTCTTCCAGTCTGGCATCCACCTTCTCCTTCCCTGACCACGGTGCGCGAGTGTAAATCATCTCCTTCCACTCCGCCTGCCTCCGTGCTTCAACCTGAGCTCTGCTCTTCTGAAAGCCACACAAGTCATTTTGATCCTGGAAACCTCAGCAAGAAATACTTTATTATTTTTTTTTTTTTCCTTTTACAGTCAAAACAATTTTTCAGCTTTTAAAATCAGAACAAATTTACAATGTTTTAAAAACAATAAACCACAGCCTTTTAACAGTCATCAACTGCCTTAGACAGCTGCCCCTGCAAGGACAACAGCACAGGCACCATCTCCTTCCCTCTGCAGGCAAAAAAAAAAAAAATAAAAATTTAAAAAATGCCCTGTTTTGTACAAAGTTCCTTTCACTTTTTAAACATGAATAGCTGAGAACTGAAATACAAACTGTCTTGTAGCTTCAAGTGATGAGTCAGGAATAGTCTAAACATAGCACCATTTTCTGGAAGGTCAGACTTCTTCCTTGTCCTAGGTCTGTTACGGCCAGTCCCGGCTCCCTCCGTGCTGGAGGAAGCTGTTGCTGTTTAGCTGCTTTCTAACCCAGGCCTGGCCTGGGCAGGGCTAAGCCTGGCCCTTGGCTTAATTTTCTCTTTGGTTGCTGCAGCTCTTTTTCTCCCTGTTGTGAGAGGATGGGGAGGGGGCTCAGGCAGGATGCCTCTGGGGGGTGAGGGCTCCACACCCCGTCACAAAGTACCAAGGGCTAGCTTGAGAACCCTTCCATGGGCTGGGGGAGAAAAAAACAGGTTTTGTTGTCTAAAAGCAAGTTTTGCAGGATGCTCGTAGGCAGTTGGATGTTGCTCCTCAGCTGGAGAAGTGTCTCTTATAGCGTAGCTCCGAATCGGCAAAGCCCAGAGCAGCCAGAGTGGATTCTGGTGCTGTGAGCATCCCGCAGCCTGCGAACCGGTGGGGCTAAGCGAGGGGTGGGAGGCCAGGTCCCCTCTCCCTGCACATACTGCTGATGGCCCACGCTCCTCTGGCAGGGGAAAGAGCTTTTACCACATCAGGGTGACACGACGTGGCCAACTGGACTTGGTGATCCCTGTGGGTCCTCCCCAGTCTGGAAGCATCTGTTTGAGGGAGCTCATCCAGTTTTTATGGAGGAGAAAATGTACCCAGATGTATCTCTGCTGGGAGTTGCTGCTGCTTTGTGCTGGTCAGAGCACAGAGCTGCTCCTTTGAGGGGTGCGGAGGGGACCAGGGAGGGAATGGTGGTGCAGAAGACCAGAGACAGCCTGCTGAGGGTGATGGGCACCGGGTGGGAGTTGAAGGCTAGCTGATGTGGAAGGGTCCGTGAGCTGCAACGCCGAGCTGATAGGAAAATATGTTCCTCTGCTATAAAGTGCCAGAGCTGGTCAGCTGGAGGCTTTTTAATTTCCTCTTCATCCTTTCCGGTAACGAAGTCCCTGTTGGCTGAGAAGCAGAGGACACCCAAGCTGGGTTCCCCAGGGAGGTGGGTTTTGTGTGCAACAGCCGCACGGTCCAGGCACCTGCTCCCTAGGGCAAGGCTGGAGTTGCTCAGGAACATGTACAACCTTTTCCAGCCTGCCTGTTCATGGGAAACCAGCCAAGTCAGGTAAATCATTCAGGTTTTTCATTCCCAGGCTGAGCCGAGGAGAGGTCTCAAGGGGGTCTTCCCAAAGGTGCCCTGCCTTGCTGCCCATCGGTGCGGGTCCCCAGGGCTGTTGGCATGCCAGCGGGCTCAGAGGGATGTGAGGAGGACACAGGCTCCTGCTCCCACGCTGCTGCACCGGGAAAACCTCACAGCCTGGAGCAGCTGCAGCTCTCCTGCCCCACGACGAGGTGAGGGAAACCACGTTCACAGTTTAAGCAATAAAACAGGAGAGAACCAGAGCTGGAGGACAGGAATGCTCCATGCCCAGCTTGGTCTCTGCAGAGACCTACGGACACATGTCTCTTTGGGGAAGACACAAGTTTTCCATAACCTTTCACGTCAGTCCCAGGTGTAACCAGAGAGCACAGCAAAGTGGGATTGCAAAGCACGGCAGCCCCGAGGGACCCTCTCCAAATGCTGCTGCGGCAGGTTTTAGCTGCTCAGTGTGGTTCTTCGAAATACAGCGAGGGACAAGGGGGCAGCAAGAGGAAACTCTGCAATCAGATGAGCACCATGACAGTGGATTGTTCAAAGATGATAGCCATACACATACCGTATATATATATATATGCATATGTGTGTTTTCCTAATGCATATCCTCATATGCTCCGTAAGGCATGTGCGTTTGCATGGAGGAGTGAGCAGTATAAATGGATTTACCGTACACGGGGAGGGCTGCCGTCTCAGAGAGGGGAAGGCAGCTCCCAGGGAGACGTGTGAATACGTGTGTTCTTCGAAATCCGCAGTTCCTGTGGTGAGTTTTGTTCCCTGTAAGGAGCCCTGGCTCTGCTCAGTCCCTGGATTAAGACGCAGGTGGTCTTTAGGTCAGAGAAACTCTATTCCTCAATTGATAACTACAGGGTGTTATTCTTCAAGAAGCGATAAATCCACAAAAATAAAATTAAAAAAAAAAACAAAACCAAACAAATGTTCCCTCCTCCAGTTTCCTCCTGAATTGTCCTTCTGGGGTCATCAGCCCAGGAGCCAAATCAACGCCCCCGGCCAGGAGGCACAGACACCGCTGCACCAGGGCCGGGACAGCTGCTGAGCATCGGGAGGTGAGTACCGTAACGGCAGAGTTACAG